AAAGAGAATTAGTGTTATCAGTTTAGTTAAACAGGGTGAGATTTGTGCCTCTTAGGATTCAAACCGCTCTGGGGTTCATTGGAATGGGAAATTAATTAGAGAGACTTCCATGTTCTTTGGACGGGACCCTCGATGCACAAACCTGCCTGCTTTCCCCCCAACGGTAATTTCTGGCATTATGGAAGAGATGCGCTCAGGTCCCACAGCAGCTACCCTAGACTAGACTAGACTAGACTTTTGTCCAAACCCCCAGGGTGCAAGCCTTTTTTCGACTTCCACTCCATGAAGTCCTACCTTTTTGAGGACGTTACTTCATGGGGATTTCAGTGGCACAGAAGCACGGCGCTCCGTGCAAATCCTCTTTAAAGCAAGAGGATTACGGGAAATGGCATTTCTCTTTCAAGCGGGACTTACACTGAATCGGGAGCCGCTGCTCTGCCGCGATCGCTTCTCCGCCAGGAGGTCTTTGACAGTGTGCTTCACTCTCACTCCTTGGTAAATGCGCTTGCTGTAGTCTGTCGGGACTGAGCAGAGGAAGCAGAGTTCAAGCAACGGGTAGAGTAAGTGGAACAGCTTGATAAAGGAAGGAGCAAATGCATTGTCACTTTGTCCAGCATCTTCCCATTGAGAGAGGATGTTTCCCAAAAGCTTACTATGTATTATTCAGGTTCATTTACTACTGAGTGGCCCCATCACAGGTCATAACCCTACTGGGCCAGCCACTGTGTAATAGCAGAACCCAAAGACAGTCTCTGCTGTACTGTACCATTCAGCAGGGAAGTCCTGGGGGCTCAGTAAGGGGCCACAGTGTGGTAAGAATAATTTTCTCCACCACAGGAATTGCTGGGAGGGGAAGGTAGGGAGCTCTTTGGCCTGTGTTATGCAGGAGACCAACCAAGATCATATATTGCAACTAATAGAGACCATTTATGTAGAGCTTTTTAGACCCTTTTACAAGGGAATTAGCCATGCAGCTCTCTCTAATTTCCATAGGGATTGTATTGTGAGGTTCCTTGCTTCCTTTGAAAAATAATAAGATGCTTTTGGGACCCTTGTTATTAGTATGTGGTATGTATAGTACCGGAGGCAGTATTGCTGCCCACGTAGTGAGGACAATTCCGAAAATGGCACAGCCAAAATACATTGGTGTGTCAATGAGTTTGAACCAACTGTGCAAAACTGGAACTAGTGAGAAGGAGCTAGTTCTTCAAACCCACTTTCTGTTTCCGTGAGCCAAAGAAAAGCGCCTTGGAGGCTGAGGCAGGTTTTCCTAAGCTATGTGCCAAGTGCGCACTGCTGCCTTTTGTGAAAGCATCAAGCACTTCTCCCCATGAGCAGTTAACATCATTAGGCAGGCCGGGGTTCACCTAGGGATAGCAAACTCCATTATCACGAAAGGTTGGTCTGTATTGATGGATTGTTTGAGAGCTCTTGGAGTTCCTGGTTCCTGGCCTTGTGCTCAGACCAGTCAATTTTAATTTGGTTTCTTAATGCCAGAGAGAATCTACCACTGCAGGAATCAAAGTGGGCTTTACTCTGCAGCTCCTCTGTACTCAGAGCCCAGTATTTGACTGTCTGTCCTCTCAGCCTCTTCACACTTAGGATGTGGTCACTTCAAGGACACCAAGCTGTGGTTTGCCTATGTCCACATGTGAAATATAGGTTAGCCAAATACTAGAGGTAGCAAAAAATAAGATTAGTTACCACCAATATGTTCAATTTGTTAATGATATTCTTATTAGTCATACTATTGAGAGTGGAAATGTGTAATGGAAGCATTCAGATAGTTTAAAGATCTTGGATATAACCCATTAATAGCCAGTAATTAGTAGTTAGAAACCATAGTTCACCAGCAGAATGGGTATTACCATACCTCCATGATTGACCCATGAGAGACACCCTATGGGCACGTCTCCATGAGATGCTAACTGTGCAGTAGACTAATTCTCCTGTGAATTAGCGTGTCACAGTGAAAGCCATGCTAATGTGCTAATGTGCAGTAGAATTAGTCTACTGTGCATTAGCGCCACTTAAGAGACGTGTGCTGGCGCTACTGCACAGTAG